AAAACAGTGCAATTTGGGTTCAAGTAGATCATAAGGTTGACGGAAACTCGGGGACTGCGCCTACCTGATGAGCCCCTAGAAGGGCGAAACCGGTCGTGGGCTTTCGAAGAGTTTCCAGTAGTTTTCTTTATGAAAAGGTTTTCATTTTATGTGTGCCTCCTCACTTATCACAAACAAAAGTACATCCGAATGAAGGGGCCAGATAAGCCATTCTGAATTAAAATAGTTTGGAATAACACTCCTTCACTACTCCAAGGAAAGTTTGAACACTCGAGTGACTGAGTCTTCCGTTTTGACAGCCCTTAAAATTTGGATCTAAACTCCGGACTCCCCTTCCTTACGGTGTAATTTGTGTGCTAGCAAACCGGCTCATTCAGTGTAATCAGGTCCTCATAGGTGACAAAACTTTAGGTGAGCAGGTATACTTATGATAGATCTGTCGTGCATACAACCTGTGAACAACTGTTTCATGTCTTAGGAGACAACTGTTTGCTTCTACCATTCTGACTATGATATCAGGAGGTAGATTTTCCGGAATAGTACCGTATTGCGCACACCTGGGGTGCGTTAGATAAGAAGGTAAGCGTAAGAAGGTAAGGCGTACAGCAAGAAATCGGGAAGTAAAATATCAGTGGGAAATGGCTGATTCAATGTCTTATGTGGAAGAAAGTTATAAAATATGCTGTCAAGGCTCAGCATATCAAGATTGTACGACAACGCGGTCCGCAGGACCTAAAAACATCCAAATTGTGTACGTTGACGTTAAAAATGGATGTGATGAAGCAAAATAATAGAAGACACCCGTAAGAATGGTGCTCGGATGGCATTTGTCGTCCAACAAACGAGCACAGATGGGGCCTTTATCTGCCTGAACAAATTCTCCCAGTCTTGAACACAAAAGCAAAACTACTCGTAAGGTTGCTGAAAATTCTTCGATGAGCTCTCAGCAGCCTTATGAGTAGTGTGTTGCGTCTAAAACCAATACTGTTGTCGCCTTTTTGAAACATCTGGGCGCTAGCCACCCAGGAAAGATTATCAGCCATGCGATAAATCGTAAACTTACCAAGATGCCGGAAGTTGCTCAGCAGCCGTTCAGCCGAATACGATTACTGGCGGGCACGCAGTTTTGCAGAAAAAGTCTGCACGCTGGGTACAGAACATCAATTCTATATTCTGATGGATACACAGAGGAGTAACATTCGTACTAAAGCAAAGAACTCAGTTTATGTATATGTACCACAAATGTAATATATACCATATACTGAGAGCCGTCTAGCGTAGTGTGTCGAAAGAGACGTGATTTTCGATTTTAAATGACCCCTGTTGCACAGATGAGACTAGCGTTCTGCATGGACGATATACCATTGTCACTGATAACCTCATGTCCATCTCAAATAGTATTTATTCATTCAACTGCAGTTGCTGTGTAAGGCATTAATGAGGGAGAGGGCAGGTTTGCAATTCATTCAAACGAAAATATGACGGAATATGCCTGACGCATGAAGGACCATTCAGGCCACAACAGTAATGCTGTGATTAATACGACACAACCCGTTAAACTCCCGAATATTCAGGTCCGGACAGAGAAAGGAAATTAGCCTATCATTCACAGTGGTAAACCAGTTCACTAACAGTTCTTGAGGCCATAATTTTAGCCAAATGGAGGCTCAGCCTGGCTGTAAAGTTGCATTTACCCCGGTCCTAGTGGCCAGAATTACAAACTGACCAAACACCCTCATCTCATTGTTTTACTTCGAATTTTTAACCAACATATCGGTTGCAAGACTTCGTGTGTTCCACGTTAGTGAAACGGTGCTATCCTCTTCTAACGTCAGTTCTTTCTGGAAGTATTTGTTCTATTCGGCTACTTCCTCAGAAAATAATCTCCGGTCGAATTTTTATCTTCTGTAATTTCAAGTAAGGTTTACTCGGTATATAATGCTGTGATAGCTTCAGTTCCATGGTGATACTGGTTGCGATTGCTCAAATGCTGTCTCTGTGCGAGGTGAGCTGTCGTGACGAAAAACATGGCTTGAATGCATTGCGGTTGTCACAATATCCATGTTCACCTGTTCAGACGTGAAAATTCAGATGCATGCAGCGTGTGCCGGTGGAATAGTGCTAACACGTTCGCCTCGCACTTCAGGTTGGCCGAGTTCAAACCTCGGTACGCCCAACGATATGAACTACTGATGAGGTCTAATACGAGCGGAACTCGAGTCCAGTGCTCCCCTTTGGTCTGGACCCAACAAGTGATTGTGCCAGGAGAGGAAAACGATTGTTCAAAAGAGAGGGATACAGGTGTGTATTCCACAAATCCCGCATCCACCAACAACTAAGCAATGTCCATGAGCCTAAGACCTTGGGGCCTCGGATACCGTGAGTACTGGGCTACGGGGCGACCGACTCATCTTCCTTCCAGCCTACTGAATCTCCGGCTTGGTGTCCTTCGACCTAAATGGAAAGTGCTAACACTGTAAATTGTAGTGGGTTGTATCTTACTTTCGGGAGTTTGCACCGTCAGAGTATTCCATGACCTCGAATAAAATCAGAATACGATAAGTTCGCGTTGCGGCAAAAAAATCGCTGCTGGTAGGTGTTAGAGTCAATGAGCTCCGCAGGTGTCATGCCCAAACGTCGTACATTCCCCACTTGATGCAGTGACAATGAGGTCCCACGGTATTCTGCGGATATCCGAAAAGCGGTGCAGTTCTGTCAAATACCAGAACGTGCACGCGCGCAACCAACAAGCTTACTCACACTGCTGGTATGCGCAGTGCGCGCGAAAAAATCGCCTCTAGCATGGTCACCGGTTTACACCTTTTGATCGGTGACTTGACTTCATTTGCTTGCAAAGTGGCTGTTTTGAGAAGCGCAGTTTGTCTGCACGTTTCGTACACCGTGTTTTATGGAACGTGATCGCATGTTCCCTCAACAATTGAGCAGAGGTGTTGACAGCTGTCGTTCATATGAAACAGTCTGGGAAGCACGTTTGGATTACCACGTGATCCATCCGAAGCGTCAGGGATACTCAGTCTTGATGTGATCGTAACCAATAAGGTAGTTCGTAGTGTTCATAATTGGTGTTCATGATAACCCAATTTGGGGCAAAACCAAAGTTCTCAATCGGAAATAAATTTTTCTAGAAGCATTCGAAGCACAGTCGAAGAGAATGGCGAGACTTCTTGGCACTTTAAAAACGCCAGCCCACAGAATTGTGAAAGACGGGGAATTTAAGCAGTTCTAGTTTATCTATGAGAGTTTGAGAGACGCGATTCCAAACTTAGACGGATTTGGATGCTGGCTTGTCAACACGTAAGTCTGCTGCCAAGACCCGTGACGGTAGTTTTCGAAAGGAGTACCCGTCGACTGAAAATTCGTACAGCTACCTTTTCTACCAGTGGACCGCCAAGCGCAGGTGAAATCATGCCATCTAAATCGAAGGGGATATTCATACCACACTGGACCTGAACTTAACGACTCGTGGTCCGAACACAGGGGATTTTCCAGTTTCCGTCGTACTTTTTCTTAACCATATTGACTTTTTTACCTGCAGCTATCGTCCTCCAAATAGAATATCTATTGATGGTAGTCCACTCTTCTTTGTTCTTCCCAGCTTCCCACAAATCGATTTTCTATAGCGGCAAACACTAGCAATAAAACTGATCGCACACTCAACCGGACTCACTCCTGACCATTGTCTTTGCAGGTTTTCTATGACTACTCACGAGTAGATCACTCCGTAGGGGTCCTTGAATTGTGTGTGTGTGTGTGTGTGTATGAAACTTTATTGACACCCTCAGCTGCTGCACACCAGCCGACGACACCAGCAGATGACCTTTCCGTGTCGCGTTGTTTGGCACACATGCTGCGCACCGTGTCAACTCTTGTCACTTGTTGATGCATGCAACTTCAATCCGAATCCGTCTTGGTTCTCTCTCTCTCATGTGGCTGATAGGTCCGGAATTCACCTGCACATTTGTCAGCCAAACAGTCCAGCAACACGCTAGTGTATACGACAGCGGCGGACGGCATGTTTGAACGAATCACCGTGGAACTACTATAGATTTTTCAGACGCAAATTTGACTAATGCAGCTAACCAATCATCCAATTTTGGACCAGTTACGGCCAAATGGGACAGCAAACTAGAAACTCGTTATCAGTGCAGGACCGGAGCAGGAGGATGGCAACCACATATAGGTGTGGATATACTCAATACTCAGACAAGACCGCGTGACACTGCGCAATCACGTAAGATCGTACAGAACAAAATGTCAATCAAATGAACAATCAGATCAGATACAATCCCTCGAGTCAATCAACCTCTCAGACACTTGTCCGTTTATTCCGTCAGTTGTGCATCATCTGCGGCTTGCCCCCCGGAACTTTACACCCACACTGAAGTAAGTTGACTCGTTTCTACAGGGAGGGATATGGCAGCTCGTCCCATATGAATAACTTGTGTTTGTGTGTGTGCATTCACCTTTGTTGACATCTGCTGGTTGCCCCACACCAGTCATCAGCAGATGACCTTTTCTACCGTGCACGTTTGTTTGCTCTTTTGCCCACATCATGCATGCTGTGTCGATCTCTGCCACCTGTTCACACAGCCGACTTCTCTCACTCTCTCTGATGGCTGGTAGATTAGGGACTCAGCAGCCTGCCAAGCAGTCCAACATCACAGCATATACGACAACCGTGTAATCGCATTTGATTAAATGCAACATAAAGTCCTGTGATTGTCCACGATGCCAAGTGGCTTGTGGTCACAAGTTGTCGCACGACAAATTCGTGCCAATCAAAGCGCTAGTATATGCAAAAATGCCATCCATCGGATTTCCATGAAGAATTGCGTTCAAATCAAGCGTTGTCTATAATCAGACATGGGATGACGACGAAGCGAACAAACGCAGCATCCGTTGTTATGAAAACATGGGACCTCTCCAACAAAAGCGGTGGCCAGTTTAAGTGTGGTTGCACATAAAGGGTGGGGAATAGTGGAAAGTTGACAGCTGACGACGCTGGCTAACAGAAGTTTCCGCAAAGCAAGAACTATCAAAAGGGTGAATTCCTCAGAACGGGCACCAATCACGTAGAAAAAAGTTTACCGTTTGATTCGTCCTTCAGGAGTGTCGTGAATTCCTCTGGAAGACACCGCTCAGCTGCTTCCAGGGTTTGGTGAGGTTGTCGCGGTTAGATACTGCTCACCGTCTTAGAACCATGAAGTCCTACCACTGTGTGATGAAAAACACCATATTTGGTGGGTTGAAATTAACTAACAAATCAACAAACCAAGGGACCACAAGTCACTGTCCTTTACACCTGAAACTACCTGCTCAACAGGCTTTGAAGGAAAACTGATGTGAATTATGTTTTACCGAAGTTCACACTCCTTACTTACCTATGCACCGTTCAAAGTTCGTACATTTGAGCTCATGATAGAAATTCTGATGGTTCCATATTTAGTAAACGGAACCCGGCATCGAAACCGCATTGCCTCCCGCAGTTAAATTCTGCTACGGCCAAACGGCCTAACCCAATGCGATCGTCCGGAAGACCGGACCGCTTCCTGGCCCAGCTTGAAGGTCAGTTCTGACCGGCCGGAAGTGTGAACCCAACAACTAATTATGACTCATTATCCGCCTAATACCGGTCGGCAGTGTGCGTCCAGAAAGCGTCGGGATTTCCAGAATGTTGTCATTATGCGCCTACGTTGTGATGGCGTACATATGTCGTGATGTTCAAGCTTTCAGCCAAAGTTTATCATCGTGAGATGGAGGTGCAAGTTGATTCAGTTGATAAAAAAACGTTCACACTGAGCCTCAGTCTACATACTATTAATCTCTTTGGTGCGATGCAGTTTCACTGAAGGATTCAGTTTCACTGAAGGAGGATTAAGCCTTTTCGCATTTGGCATATCCGAATAATAGTTTCAAGAGAATGCTGGTTCGATCAAATTGTGTTATGACAAAACACGCAGTACCCTGGATCAATGCTGGCGCGTTCGTATTCTCATTCTACCTTGTGGGTTGCCTACGTGCGAAGAACGGGGAGGCAAATTTTGTTAAGCACGTACTGCCCACAGCGAAGACCCATTTAAAGTAATCAACTAAGTTCCGTTCCAGTGTCAACTGACCGGCTGTCTGTCGCCCAGACCAGAAATGAGCACAAACCACATTCGTTTTCCTGATTCCGACGTATAACAAAATGTCTCTTCTATTCACAGAGGCATTGGTCACTGTCGAATGGGACTCAAAACCGTGTAAACAGGCACATTTATAGCTTTGGTTGATGCTACCACGGTGATTCCCAGACATGCACTGGACCTCAGTCCTGTCTTCGGTAAACCGTTCGAGGCTTTTGGCACACTAGTCACATCACTCGAGTGTAAGCAAGTTCACCCGTTCGGGCGTGATAATTCAGGTACTTGCGATGGTGGAGTAGAGGTAACACGCTCACCTCGCATGTTAGGTGTCCAGGGTTCAAACCCCATCAAGGTCACTAGTAATGAGCTCTCATAAGAGCGAAACTCAAGTCCAGTGATTACCACCTTTGGTGCGAACTCACCAGTATAACTGCGCCAGGAAAACATAAGGACCGTTCAAACCGGAGTGATTTGAACGTGAAACCGTATTTCACTCAGTACTGGACAAATGATGGCGATGTCCGTTGGCAAAGACAGAGTTAAGTTAAATTTACCATTTATCCAGAACACAAAGGTTCGAGACGTCATAAGAGGACTCGGAACCCTCAAGCATTTGACTTGTCCTTCCTTCGTTGAATGTTGATTCTGTTACCCCAGAAAACCGCTTGAGGAGAAGTGAAAGAATGGCTGAAATTTCTGGTGCGTTTGTAAGTACATTATTTCCGATTCGCATTCTGAAAAGACATCGGAATTCGGACGCCCTGAGTTACTGACTCAGTCGTTTGTTTAGATATCCGAGCTCGAGGTAGCTCAGTGGTTAAGGCGTGAAAGGCCTGTGGTTCAAACCCAAGCCCAACAACTCGATTGATTTTGTCTGGGCTTTGATAGACCGACAGTATCTCAGCCCACATGCTTCCTTCGGATGACACGGCAACTATGCATCAAAACGGAGAGGGAGTTGAACGACTATTTTTATTTTATTAAACATATTACCCGTCATTCCAAAATGTCAGGTTTGGTTGCAACCCTCCAATCCTGTCGACAGATTTTTACTGGTACGAACGAACTGAAATACTGGTCAGATCATCTAGCGAGTACTTACAACTCACAACTGATCAGTCAACGTTAATTCGTGCCTGCACGGTATTCCTCAATACCGCATTGACTGTGTTACTCGTAAAAGCATCCCAGTCCCCTGAGACTTGTTGTGTGATATTCCGACGTGTGTGTACACTGATCCTCAGCTAAGAAACCTCCAGAAGGATCTACGTCCAAACATTTACCACTTCTGCTTGTCCCTGTAGCACTTACACTGGAGTGTATCATCCTCCCGGCTCGGAATAAGGATCATTTTCCGGTCACCGTTTGATCAAACTACATTCATATAAGACCAAAGATTCAAACTGTCCGCTTGTCAAGTAGACAATCAGGTGCCTTAAACATACGAATCCCGTAGGCGTCTGCTGAATAACACGAACGGAACGTTGGTTTTCCGATTCTATGCGATGGTTTGACCTACTGCACTCAAATGTGGTATGCACAGGTGAAAGTCGTTCAGCCACACTGTTGATTTTCTTCGGTATCCCATTGTCTTCAATTCATCTAGATTCACTCGCTATCTTGTGGCCCTTTCCACCATCCGTCAGTTCAGTCGGAGTTTCTGAAAACTGACGACTATTATAAACAAAAGATGCATCTCAATAATTTGATGACGAAACAACTGCGTGCGCTTGAAACACCACTGGTGAATGGACAGCTGAGTGCCAACATTGGTCCGGTCATTTGGTTCGGAGAATCGGTTTCACAGTGCTTGGTCAGTACCAGACTGTGTAGGTTCGGTCACGGTTTACTTTTGGTTACCTTATGTTTATGTGACCCGTCATCGCGTCCACATTGCTCAAAAGTGTCCTCCCAAAAATCTTGACAGTGAGTTGAAATCGATCACTCAAGGCTAAAATACGGGCACCCGAAAATTGCAATAAAAAGCTTTGAATATATTTTACTCTGATATTTAGTTGAAAAAAAACGATACAAACTGCCAAACGTGTCCCTCATTCTTGTCATTTATTTTTCAGACTTTCATGAAGTGCTAGGACCCATCAGACTACATGTATGTATGTGTTTCAACACAAAGGATCCGATGACTTGACCACGTGAAGTTATAGCTGTATTTGCGAAATACACGCACTCTCACATCAATTGTATTTTCACAGCGGATTCAAATGAATCCTAACTGAATCTCCCATCTATGACATTCTTCAACTGAATGCGCTGCACAAAGGTCGCCGCCTCATGCTTGTTTCGGTACGATATTCCAGATTTGGAAGTATATTTCTTTAATCAAACTACTCACAAGTCTGCCTAAAACTGTCCAACTTTTAACGTCCGGTACCATCGAAAAAATGAGGCAGCCTGTGTGCTGTTTCGACCACCAGTAGAAAATTGCTCATTCCAATTTTATCGCTTCATCGGAGGCTGTTTATGCAATCTTGAGTATCGTCATCTCCCAACCACTCATGTGAGAATAAAGTACGAGCTCTTCCTTAAGAAACTACTGTTTTCAACATGTTGTCAATATGTGAGACGAAGGTTTGACTTCGCCTTGTTGATTCGCATAGGAACATTATCATTCATTTCAATTAAGCTTTTAAGGTGCGCTGGTAACCGGTCACGCGCTACGTGGTCCACTGCCTGCCAAGAATTCTACACCCAGTGCTCTCCACTGAGGCAAAACAATACTGGTCCATTTGGCAGTCTTTGGTAATTTTTATCCCAATCTGTCCAACTTCTTTTTTGTGATCAGACAGAAGTCCTCGGAAAATTTGGACTTAGGTGTGGCCGAACTGATTTGAGCAGAATTATCCATTTGCCGATTACTTTTCACATTCATACTCCAACTAGGCTAAAATAATAGTCGCTCAAATAATGAAAGTCTTGTGATCCAAGACATGCGTTGGGGAGTGCAAAAACCTGGAAGTCACGGCGCCTCCTTCCTCATAAGGGTTTAACATCCAACGAAAGTTACAGAAGAATGTTACGAAGAGTTCTGGCACTGTTACAGCTGTTGATCTCCCAGGATGACGTCAACGTGATTCTCTCTTTGCTTGGTTGGAGACACTGAATGATATGGCGGCTAAAAGATGTCACTGGCTTCCATGCTGTCGGTTTCTAGCCGGATTGTTTGATTGAGTGATGGAAGTGTACACATCTGGGCTGTTTGTTGTAGGCTGGCCCTAGGTCCCCTTTCCGGTCCTATTTGTTTCCTTTCCACTCTATTTCTTTCCACTTTATTCAGACATCGTTGACATGGTTATATGGTAGTGAAGTAATGCTGTTTTCTTCTTTCGTTTCTGTCAGTGACGAACTTGATGCTGATATCTGTAAGAACGAACTGGTTTCGTTGTTTCTCTCGACTGCAATATAGATACACATTATCCCCTCTTGATCCAGTGAATAAGACCATACCTACGATATTGAGAACGCATCTTTGAATTGACCACTAACCCCCATCCTGATAGTCTCTACAAGGAAAGTTTAACTGACTTTTGACACTTTGAAAGGAACGGTTCCACTACTTTGTCGTCGAGTATTCAAGTGGGAAACATTTTTTACCCAGAGCATACCACCAAAGTACGACCGAAACACTGGGTGTACGAGTGAATGATAGCCTCATGCATAACTTTGGCCTTATTTCACTCATCGATTAAAGCGAAGTGGGCCGAATTATGCTGAACCAAAAACAGATCGAGAAATCACGAGCAGTAGTCACTTTGGGTTGGAACACACCCAACAGCTGTCCGACTTATGATGTAATAGCAGGATGGATGTACTGACAGCCTCTCCACGCAAGTGCCTTGTCTTTCGTATGTGAGTTCACCGTTGGACGTCTTAGTAAAGCATGCAGAATAATCGAAGAAATAGGGATCATTTTCCTGAGAGATTTATACGCTCCTTTGATGGTCCGGTTCGCTTGTAAAATCCATTTAAATGCATGGTTAGACAGCTGAGTTTTCATATCCTGTTAGTCCCACTGATTATGTTTTGGGCCCTACATCCAACTAAATAATGCCTCGAAGTTATACAGAGTTAAGTTATTCTCTAAAGATGGTTGTATTGACCGGGGCCGCTGTCTTTGTTCTGCTTCCTATCCCGCACATATGGGAAATGGTTTCCATTTGGTTATTCACTTGTTTCTTCAATTATTTGTTGAAAATCTCTAAAAAACTGCTACGTTATTGCAAAAAAAGTGCTGCCATATATTTACTGCCACACCGCTATGTGAACAGTGTATGGTACTAGTGAAGTCCGGGGCCTAGTAATTGATCTCAGAGAACAGGCCCAAGCGTAGTCAGCTGCTGGTAGTACGTCCTTACTTGGCTTCTTTCTCATTTCGATGCGGTTTAATGGAGAGCGCGCCAACTCTTTTCGATCTGGTGGTCACACTTTTGTGAGTTTTATCACTAAAATCCTCTTAAAAGGGCTCTAGAAAAACAAACCATCCAGGAGCAGACTTAAAAGCCGGAAATTACATGTCCATCGCGCGACAGCCTCGTTACACTTCTTGTGCTTTCCTAAACCTTGTGTGACTGAACCGGAATACCCAGATCATTTGAGTCATGTGACTCTCGTTTGTTCGCCTCTTCGCCTGGATAGATCTTTTCCAGACGGAAAATCACGTGGTACGGGACAAGGTCGTGAGAAGGACACAATATACCTTTTTTCACGAAAACGGTCAGCTCTGGAGATAGCTACGTGATTTTGCAGCAGTTAAAGAAAGCAGAATCAATCTAACAACACAAAATCATATTCGAATGGGTGAGGAAATTACCGGTTTCCAGCATTCCGATTAAAGCTAATTAACGCCTGTCACTAAAGACTGTCGGTTGTTGAAGCACGCTCATTTCATTTTAGATGCAGCTAAACTCAGATATTAATAATTTAACAGTTAGATATATTTTCGAAAAATGCCGACTGGACTGGTACTGTTGGATGGTGGTGATGAAGTAACACATCAAAAGCGATTAATATGACATCTACTGAATCACTTGAGTAATATTCCTTATAAACGGAATGTTGTTGAACTAAGCAATGTCTGATGTGTTAGCAACCCAGTTATTTTTTTGAACAAACATTGACCATACCTAGTTATCATCATTTGGGAGAAAATCTCAATTCTCAATTAAAGGGACGTAGCATCATGATACCAGAGAAATTTGCTGGGTGATAAAATGTTTTTCAAGTCGATGAATCATGAAATTTGTAGTATCTACGGTTGTACCCTACAAGAGCAGAATGATTATGTCATAACAAGACTCCCTGATGGCTTCGAATGGCTTCCTGATAGTAATTTAGCTAGATTGATATCACACTTCAGTCCACCGCATCAGTAAATTTTAACGATTGTCGTATCCAGCAGAATAAAATTTACTTCATGCATCAGTAGAATGCGTTTACCTTATCACTCATTTCAGTTAAAATTTCGTAAATTCATTGGCACACACGAGGTAGTAGACAAGTCATGGGGAATGTTGAAAGCTTACGTTAGAAACTAGTTACGGGGAGATTCTATTTAAACGGTTATATGGGGGAGAATGTGCCTCATCTGTTAATCGAACCTGAATTTCCGACAACTAAATGGATTCCAATGTGCTAAGGATAGAAATCTATACAAGTTACTTCTTTGATAAGAATCGTATGGTTTGGCAAAAACCGCATCCAGACAGCGGAGACCTGTAATATGGAGCATTTGAACTAAAGAAGATGACATTCAGTAATTGTTTTTCGATAGAATTGAAAGCTGGCAGTACTTCAAAGAATTCCCGTCCAATGAGTAACATTCCCTTAACAAGAGTCTTTCAAGTGTTGGGAGCAGGAAGTTCACCGCCTTTATTGATACAAAGTACCTTTTTACATCAACAAAAATAGGTACTAGTTTGATTTTGCCGGTTAATTTCGTTTTAAATAGTTACGCCTTGCCAGTTGGTCATAATACATTCGAAAGCCGACGCAAACATTTGCAATAACGTAGGTTAATTTCAGTCCACTTATTTCCCTCTCACTCTGACCCCGAAGACTGAACGTGGGATAGTATTGATCATTTGAATTGCTCAAGACTTTTGCTTGTGCCAACTATTCGGATGATCAGAGTGTAGACACTGGTAGCTGTCGGGTGACATTCATCTTAAAGGAGACCCTATAGGTATGCGCGAAATATCCCAAACCGTGCAAACTCTTTAAAATGTAAGGTTCACTAGATATGTGAACGACGCAGTCTGAATATACTTTCTAGCGGAAAACTCGGGGCAACCTAACCGCTAAAGAGCGCACACGCATCTCAATAATTGGATTTTTGTTGGGAAATTCAAAATTACTGGAGGCAATCCCAAACCGAAAACGCTTAAAACAAGACACGGTTGTAAACTTCAAAACAATTTCAGGTTGTCGAAAACCTAGCAGAAAATGAAATCAACTACACTACTGTAATCATCAGTGAGGTGGAGTATTTGTTTAAGAAGACTCCTCCTGTACTCCAATTTAACTCATATTGGAGTCAAGCGGCCTGAGTTAAGAAACAGTGCTACACGGAATAAGCAGAAGCTTTATTTGAGCCGGAGGCTGATGCCCTGCAGCCGTCTAAGTTCGTCTTTCTAATATTTGAGCCGGCACTCAAAGATGACGAGTCGTCCAAGCCTTCTGGCAAGCTTCATGCCTCACTAATGGAAGTGTTTTTTTCCTGGGATAACAAAGCTAATTTCCATCAGCACTACTGTAACCAAACACCAAAACCGGACACCTAAGTACTCTCCAGATGCTCTTATTATCAGCTGCAGCGCTGCGAAAAACGCTGCAGAATCTTCCTGTCAAGTAAAAACTAAACGAAACGTCTAGAAAATTCGATGCTTACAGAATGATGGAACGGGAACTGTCATTCAGCTAAACTGTTGGAGGAGGAGGACTGCGCAAGAGAAGAAGAAGAACTAATAACGGTATCGTTCGCATAATTGCAACTTGACACAAGGGGTGGTAAAAGAGGAAAACATAAATAGTGCTTTGGGGCACGCAAGCATTTACAAGAAGCTGAAGTATTTCTGACCATTACTGCACATGGTCTAGGAAGAAGTGTAGCAGTAGAATGACCATATCACGATCAAGACCTTCGGCAGCCAGTAAGTCGAATAGCATCCTTAGACCCAAGGGCTACCAAAAGATTTGAGTCGTCTAAGGTCGATAATCTCAGCACACTGCCATTAATGTTGGGCCGGAATACGTCAGCACTCGTAACCACAATGGAGGGTCCGGTATTGATCCGGACCTGCAATGATCGAATTTCAAGGCAATTTCAGGCAATTCTAATTTTTCCATAATTAGTCCAAAAGGTCCCTCTAAATCAAGTGGAACTTCCTCAGTTTATGCGGGGAAATCCCCAACTGCTTTTTAATGATTTGCTCAAATTAAAAAGCCATTCGAAGGGGAGCAGAGAGTGACGGTATACTTCTTCTATACGACAGGGAACACGCACGAAGACCACATACCTTGTTAGGTCGTGGATTAATAGTCGGACTAGTGGGTGGTGAAATAGTGGACTGGGTAAGTGAGAAAAGCGGATCTTCAAAGAGTGTTTACATAGGAAAGGGAAAAATCTGCTTATTTTCTCGATGGCTGACTTGCTGATACCACCGGAAGATTCACCAGCACTAGCAAACGCCACAACTCACATTAACAGTGATTCCAAATAGATTTCAAAATAGCTCGAGTTCAGCTTCGGTTTTGATAAGATGTGACACTAAGCCTTACTAGCCAAGCTTAGATGAATCATCCTTTTGTCAACAAAATTTTATTGGAAATGACGCGAACATCCATGTTATATTTTCTGCCGGTTAAGAAGTGATGAAAATTTACTAGCTGGTCTCAACGTACAGACTGTCCTAAATTTTGGTGACCACCCTAGCTAATAGTGTCCACTCTGTTAAATGAGTACATGCGTACTCAGCTCAGCTGATTGTACCGCTGAGCGAACCAATTCCTGAGAATGTGACGATGATAATGATGATGATGGCGATGATGAGGTTCTGCTTAGACCAGGTAAATGAGATTACCCAAACTAACTATGGTGCTCTGGCGAGTCAAGAATAATCGAATAAACGACGTAGGTACGAACGATGAGAATGGAAATGGTACGTGAGTGAACGGTGCCCGAGTGAGCGACGACGTACTACCAACTGATAGGCGAAAATCGTTGACTGATACTTCAAGGGGTTTTGTTTTGTCACCAAAAATACTCATCTGAAAATGAATTTACTGTTACCGGGAGACTCAAGCGGTATTTAGCTACACATTCAGTTCACTTTCCCCTTAACACCGACCTACTTTATACTTGAGTGCCTACCGCCAAATATAGGTCAAATTTTCTGATCAAGCAGGAGGTAAAATTGATGGAAATTTTGGGAGCAAGTCTACCTGATGAGCTCTAAGAAGGACGAAACCAGTCATTGGCTGTTCAGAATTTTGTAGCTCTTATGAGCAATGTTATGTAGGAGAAATAGCTCTAGTTCTGTTCTATGGTTAACTATATCAAGCAGGCCGGTGAAGAATACGGTGAAATAGGTCTACGGCAGAATGAGGCATTCGAATTTCATTCACGGTGAGCACTGTAACCGCTGTCATTCACACTCGTGACACACAGGTGCATGTTTTTGTAAGGTTGGCCTTAGGGTTCTCCAGTGTGTTCACGCCGACACCTGTAACAAATATAAACAACTCGACTAAAGTTATTGGTGAGTGTTAACAGGAAACTCAAGTGAATCCCAGCTGCATCCCTCGCTCAAAATGTTCGTTAAAGAAATTTTGGTTTCTTTAGCGTCCTTTTTAGAAATTTCGAGTTTCCCCAACAGTAACTTGTATGACAAATACTAAGGACTGAATGAGTGAGTAACTGAAAGTCTGTGGTTTTGTCATGCGTAAGAGTGGCTGAAATTGTCATTTCATTGTTCAAAAGAGGCGGAAAATCAGGCCACAGATGTGTTGGCTGGATGACAACATATTACCATTTCATCCATAGTCGTATTTCTTGAGTGTCACATGATCATCATCGGTTAAGTACATTTTCCGGGCGTTACACTATCCACGCCGGGAACTATGCTTTGTGAGCATCCGTTTCTTGTGGGTTTCCACAGGCCCAGTCAATACATCTCACCCATCAAAGAGATCACAAACAACCAAAAACACCGACTGAGCACTTTTGTGGAACACTCCGGATTTTACCATGCTCATGCGTCATCCCCTCGAGCATGCTTTGCCTGTACAATGTTCGTTGGCTAGATCACCACCTACCTGCCGTGGATGCCGCAGTAGGTCGGTTTACACAACCTTATCAACATCACCTCAGGGTGCAGTTTGATCATTGATACGATCACATGAGTGTGGGTACATATACACTCATCTGACAGCGTATATTTCTGTTAGCTTGGATGATCACCAGATTCTGGAACGGCCGGTGCAGAAGAGCCGGAAGTTACGGAGCAGTCATGTTCAGGTGTGATAAGTCCTCAGAAGAAAATATTCTGTCGTGTGCTATTTCAAAGCAACTGTGCTGGAAGTTTGGTAATTCTTCCTAGCGTAAATTTTGGAAACAGATTAGCAGTAAGCAGATGCGTGGAGAATACTTCCAAAACCCAAATGAAGGCAGTATCACGTTGAGCGATAAAGTGCTCTGGAAAGATGACGCAGTTGTGGACAACATTACTACCAACATTTTAG